AATTTATTAAGCTCTAGCGGAATAATATAATTTGATGATATAATTTTTCTGGTCCTAACAAAAAGTTAGGTTCGTACTACTGTAAGATATTCAAATGGCACACCCACTCGACCACACAACTATTTGAATTTCAACACCAATTAAATTTGCACACCAATTAAATTCAAATAATGGTTTTTGTATTTGAAACTATTTTCGCGCATACTCGCAAAAGCTGAGCCGCCACAGTTCGCTTATGGCACGAGCCATGTGGCATATAGTCTTTGCAATATACATGGCGTATACGTAATGAAATATATTTTACAACATGGAAATTCCATTAGAGATGCAATTTAAAACTTATTCAATAGGCAGCGACACATCGCGTCCGAATCAAAATCCAAACCAATTAATAATGCATTCGCAGTTCGATTCGAAATAGTAAAGAGTGCCAACTGCAAGCCAATTTGTGAAATCTGGGATAGGGGTTGGAGGGGGAAGCGGCCGCTTCATTTGAAATTTGTTTTCTGCGGAATTTTATTAAATGGGACACAGAGCGTAAAATATTAAAAAATCGCACTGCTGAAAAGAGCTTTGAAAGCGAGAGCAAATATTTGTTTTTCAAATGAATGAATGAAATGAATAAATGCAGCAGGGACGGATAAAGTTTGAAGCGCTGGGCTTTGCGGGGGAGTCGCCGCGTGTTGGTGGGCGGTTTTGGGGGCTTTAAGTGCAGTTTGCACTCACGTTGTTGCTGTTTGTTCGCTTTTGCTGCTGCTGTCATTTTAATGAAGTTGTTTTTGCCTTTTCTATTCTGCCATTTGATGCTTAAAGGTCAATGAGTGCTGGCGCACAGAGCGAGCCAACAACACACTGTTGCATGCTGTGGTTAGTTAGAGGAGCAGAGCAGGCTGTTGTAAAAACGATAGAGATGCCACATGTTGCCGAGACTGAAGCTGTTAATTAAATTTTATTGTGCTGTTTTGCTCACCAACTGCAGAATCAGGAGCAGGAGCAGGAGCAGCAACATCATTGCTTATGGTTAAGCCAAAAGCACAGAAACAACAAGCGCCCTGTGGCAGCTACACTGTGGCAAGCTGCCATGAAATATACAACAAAATGCACACGGACCAGGACCATTGACGTCGTTCCTGCTAATGATGATGTTTCTGTTGTTGATAATAATGCAGTCTGGTTACTAATTTACAGACGACACTGTGAACAACAGCGACTTCGACCATTTCCCCCTGTCCGCCCATTCCGTCCATTCTGGACAGGGAGCTGCAGTGCAACTCAATTATCTACCTGAGAAGGGGGGTGTGAGTGTGTTGGTGCTAACACATGCATGTAATGGGGTGCCTGGGCCGGCCGTGTGAATGGCAACAGCATTTCGCAATCAATAAATCCCAGGACCCAGCTCCTGCTGATATTTTCACAAGGCTCTGCATAAATGTTTGCATGCATCCATTTACGTATGCACGCATGCATGCATGAATGTATTAGTATGTGTGTGTGTGTGTGTGTGTGTGTGTGTGTGTGTGGGCAGCCAATTTGCATGTCAGTCGCTGCTGCAGCATCCACCAGCAACTGGTTGTTGCCAGGCAGCGACAACAACGGCAGCGACTGCGACACAGGCAGCAGCAGCTGCTGCTTTGCCATTGCCCCTTCCACTGAACCTTCCACTGCCACTGCCACTGCCACAGCCACGGTGTTGATTTAGCCGGAATATGAGCCTTGACTTCTGAGCTGTGAGCTGTGAGCTCTACGCTATTTATAGTCAACACTTCAGTTAGCTACGAGGAACAGTTGCCACAACATTCTGCACAGGTTATGATGCAGCACGGCTTTGATTACACAATCAACATTTGCATTTACATTCCTCTGTTCGTGCAACATTTGCGAGCAATTAAAAAATAATGTGGAAGAAAGGCTTGAAATTCTATTTCCAAATGAAACATTTCTTCTCACCTAGTTATAATAATAATAAACTAACCAAATATACATATATTAATATGTTAAAAGAACACTAATACTTATTGTATGAGTATTAATTAACGCAAGATTAAAAGATTCATTTCACTTAAACGTTTATTAATTTATGTAGTCCAGCTATTCTGTTTCTCTTCCTGCACTGCACAATAGCAAATTGATTTTGTATTTCAGCAATATTTCATTGTTCTTTTATTTGAATGACAAGTGACAGAGACAATATAATTGACAATGACAATACAACAAAAGAAAAATAGTAGTATTGCGTTTTACGCAAAAAACCATGTTTAATGATTGGTTATATGTATATCAATTTATTTACCAATACAGGTTTTAGAAATAATATGTATTTTAAATGACAGCAAAAGAATTGTCATGCGAAGTATACTAAAATGCTTGCCAAACAATGAGGGACAGAAACCAACGGAGAAATTATGGAAAATCAAAATACACTATCTCATACAATACAAGTACACTTCTGATTAAAAAAGTATAATACGTATTTTATATATATACTTGTATTTATACACATATGTACATCACACATACGAAATCTGGAAGGATTTGAGTATTTTCTTATTGGCTAGTTCTTGCCTCAGACAGATTTGCATCGGCAACATCTGTTTAAGGAAACTATATTTATTCTGATATTGTAATCTATACTTTGTACATTCTTAAACATAAAGAAGACTGTAGTTTAAGGGAATGGAGTCACCTTAAAATTTTACTTGCGAAGCTATTGCCCAAGTCCAATGTTGAAACTCAGCTCTTGACGTGACTGTACTTGTTGTACTTGTATGTGCTTGTTGCCTGTTGCCTGTTGCACGGTAATTTCATTTAATATCTGTAACTCGTTTAAATAGCAGTTGGTTAGCTTCCTGCCAGCAGAGGAAGTCACTTCCTGCAGTTAACAGGCCATGCCAACTGATTGTCGCATACATAGATAAACACTCGGAGAAAGGGGGAGCTTCTCTCGTTTATTTGCAGAAATTAAATTTGTTTGTGTCTACAATTTATTCAACACATAATCGCAAGAATATTGCCAATTTGTATGCCCTGTACCCAGAAAGGTAAACGGGTATCTGAATAGTAGAAATATATGTACATATATACTATATATATTCCTGACCTGTGTGAGTAGATGGGTTATTGTAGTCATGTCCGTCTGTCCGTTCGTCTGTACCTACGCAAGGAAAGTATAAGAGCTAGAATAACCAAACTTGGTTCGACTCTGCGTTAAAAAGTTGAACTATTTCTTCTACTTTTTGTTCTGTTAAGTTTGACTGATAGAGATGATCCTTTAAATGTTACTTTTCTTGAGGATATGCATACATTTAATAATAAAACATAACTCTAGGACCAATTTTGAATGTAGCGCAACTTTGTCAAATGATTTTGCAAACTCTAGTGGATATGTTGTTATTCTTCAAATAATTTACTATTGACATAATGTGTGTCTATTTATTCTGCGAGTGTGTAAAAGTATGTGCATAACTGTATATATATGTGCAGGGATATGTGTATGCGGCGGCATTTGTTCACTGTGGCTCCTTACTATGCAATTGGATTATTCATATCATTCATGTACGAGTTGAAAACACGTTTACAAACAGGCTTGTTAACGTTCCACAAGAGTAGGTACACGTACACCAGGGCACCAAGCCACCTGGGCAACTAATTGCTGGCAAGGACCTCTGCTCGACGTGGACTCAGCATGCGCCAGAGTTTAATTAAACTTGTAAATGTTTTCGCTTAGCAATAACAATAAACAATTAGAGCGCAGGTTGTGCCAGACAGCATATCAAAGAAAGTTGTGACTAACTTCATAGCTATACCCGAATGTGTCAACAAGCAGAATGGCCACAGCCACGCCCCCCCGTCACCCACGTCGTAAATAGAGGCATTAAAATTTCACTCAATGTTCCTGGTGGCACTTTAGCAAACAATTTTTATGACATCAACTCTTTATTGACAGTCGAATGGGTCATAACAACGGGTGGAGCCAATTTTCACATATATTGCTACTCAATTTAACTATTGAAAAAACAATATTATAAGCTAGATTTAAAAAAAAAGAAAGATACACAGAATTTATGTAAAATATTCCTTATGAGTAGTAGTTTGGAGCTGTTCTGTTAATGTTAATGTTTAGTAAATGTAAACGCCTTTTAGCTAACATTTCTTTTGGTTTGTTTACATTATGTTATGTTATTATGTTATCTCTTTAAGATCAACTTCACTCTTGCTTTCACTTTGCAGACAGAGCTTTAATATGCAGACGAGCTTTTTAAAGCCGCAGCTGCATTGAAAATTACTCTCACTTTAATGAACTTATATTTTATTGAATACGTCCCGTGTTTGTTTATTAAATATAATTATTCAGGTGATATGTAGTATTCGGTATCTCCTGTAAGTAATAGTCATGGAATTCTCTTTTATCAATGGGCAGTTTTCAGATTCAAAAGCTTGATTCACAAACTTGTTGTTTGTTTTTAAAATTAATATATTTGTATGCTATTTCATTAGTTTATTTAATATATTTTTATAAAAAGTGCGTCAACCTGACACCTTGTAAACTAACCCTAAAGTTATTCAGCGTCTAATTTCATTATTATAATGAAAATGTTTTAAAAACACTCAAAAATTAAACCGCTAACGAATTTACGAATTTCGAAATTTCGTCTGCCTTAGTTTGCAAAAGTTTAAATCTACTCGATTAATTACCCATTTTAGAGGGCTCTTACAAGCAAAATTAAAAACATCATTAAGTACGTATATCAATTTAATATTTTTTTAAGCGTTTTCACTTTTTGTGCACTCTAGATTAGAGAATTGTTTTTATAAATAAATCACCTTTTGGAAGAGGTGATTAATATGAGCATAAATTGAGCCCTTTTCATATCCCACTAGAGATTTTTAGCTCAAGTTTTAAGTTGACGTCAATTTTAAAATATTTAAGAAGTTTCCGAAATGTTTTTTTTTTAATAATTAAACAGCCAATATTGCATATATTGATTTGATTTCTGACTCACCAACATTGCCCTCCGCTTGCACAAAATCTCCATGGGTGGTCAGTAGCAGGAGAAACAGAGCGACAAAACCGTATTGCAGGAGCTTAGCGGGTCGTCTTAGAACGTTCAGTTTGCAGCATAGCAGAGCACCGCCGCCGCCGCCACCACCAGCACCGCCGCTGCCGCCAAGACCGTTGCCACAGCCCCGAACTTCCCGTCTACGAGCACCCTGACTGATCAGTAAGCGGCTGCGGCGATGTTGTGCCGCCGCCAGAGACGAGTGGGACTGCGCGGATTGCCGCTGATGATGCAAGAGCTCGTGCTGACGTGGCAGATGTTGCGATTGTTGTTTTTGTTGTTGTTGCAATCGCTGCTCAGTCCTTGCGTCGCATTCTGCTTGTGCTTGTTGTTGTTGTTGCTGTTGTGGTTGGGGCTGCTGCTGATGATGAAGGAGCTCTGGTTGCCGCTGCTCCGCTGCTGTTTCCTCTGTGTCCTTTTCAGTTGCTGCGTGCTGTTGTTGTTGTCGCTGTTGTTGCACATTGCTTGCCATGATAATCGGCCCACCTGCAAGGATTGAAAGTTTTCCATTGTTAATGGCGAATTTGTAAAGTTTATTTGTTACTGTTAACGGAAATTGCTTCAACGCAACACCTACACAACGCCTTTGTTATGTTGAAGGAAATTGCATCGCATTAAAGTGTAACATGATTGTGGGGCAAAGCTGCGACTAGCATCAACGAAAAAATGAAAATTGTTCTATACCAAAATTTATTCAATTTTTCCCACATTACACATTTTCTTACAGAATATATTTTTTAGAAATTCAAAAAAAAACCGAAAATTGTTGAAAAACGAAATTAACACCTATTCCAATTGCATACCTAATTTTTATCTAATATGTATCATACAAGTATATGTCTACCAGAAATATTCTATATTTGTTGAATTATTTTCGCAAAATCCCAAATTGTCTGTGAGTTTTTGTTTTTTAATAAAATATATGTAGAATAAATAGAGCAGTTCGATGTTTCTCTACCATTTTAGGTGTAATTTTTACTCAAAATGCTTTTATTTCGATTCCCATTCTCTGTACGCACCACTGTGCTTCGAATTTGTCGCTGATTTTGTTGGCATTTGTTGAACCATTTTTCGTTTTCCGGCGCCGCCATATTTCATACAATATGCGCCAACACATAAACAACAAACACAGTTCACGCACGCACACGCTCACCTTTACACACACACACATACACACGCATACACACACACACCATCCCACCGTCCTTTTGTCCTCCTCTCACATTCGTCGGGCGTTGCAGGTCCTGCTTTTTCGTTATTCGTACCCCAGCCCTTAGTTTTTTCTTGTTGCTCTTGGCAGTTTTGTTGCCGCTGCTCTCATTCAGATGTTAACACATATTTTTCGCTGTTTATATGGCAATAAATGTCAGGCTTCATTTCGCAGAGCAGAAGGCAACAGAAAAGGAGAGGAAATTGATTTTCCTTGCCACCTGAATGACTTTTGCTGCATGCATTTAGGGCGTCGACAGGTGATGGGCCACCGAAGCCTCAGTTGACAGCGAGGTGGGTCGATCAGATCCGATAGAGGCTCGCGGGGTCGGCATGGCTGGGGTCTGGGTCAATGTTTGCTTTCCAATGAGCAGGATACGACAAGGTTGACAAGTATTGCCCAGGACTGCCACGCTTGGACGACCCTTGGAGGTGGGGGAGTGGTGTTCAGCCATCCCAACCACCAACCTAAGCGATCCCTTCCCTACGCCACGTCCATGGCCAATTGGCGACATGGAAAACCATAACTACGCAAAAATATATTACGTAGTTCCCAGAGACTTAGCCTAAGCCATGCCTTAGCTGCTCCTGCTACTGTAACTGTTGTTTTCCCACAGATGCCAATAGCCGCCACAAGATTAAGCTCCGTTAAATTACACAAAACAAGTATTGAATGAGGTGCCACGGCAGCGAAAGACAAATGAACCTCCGTCAACTGTTTAGACGACACATGCCACAAGCTGTTCGTTAAATTGAACAAAAGAAATTCCGAGCTGCTGATACCGAAATAATAGCGCATTTAGACCAAAATAATGCTTACACATAATTATTTATAATAGTCTATGTGAACACCTTTATGGACTGGCGATCAGGAAAACAGCTACATTGCAGCAGAAATACTCTCTTGCTCCCGATGAAGACGTTGCATCTGGGATAAGGGATGGCGAAAGCAAGGAAAGCCACAATTAGCGGGTTAGGTAGACATACCTGGAGCATAGTACACTCCCCTCTCTTAATATAATCGCCATCGAACTAAGTCCCTCTACAGCTTTGTACGCGCTGTGACATCGCCTAGGAAGGCTTTTCTGAAGCCAATAAACCCAATTATGCTGAGAGCTGGACAGAAACTAATTATATTCGCGTAGCATCATCTCTGCAACATCTGCCGAAGTCATTAGAAGGAATGCCAAGGACAGTGTCTGGTTATGAGTATTATTTTCATACAAAAATAATACTGGTCTTGGCAGGGAAAAAACAGATGAATTACTCATTTTCAGAATTTTTGGACCATTTGAAAAACTTTGCTAATTTTCAAATATCACGACTTTAATAAATACAAGAAATCTACTATAGTTAAGCAAGATTTATAAAATTATAATTATAAGAATCTAAATATTCGTAATTTATATATTTCTTTAAGAATTTTTTCATAAATATATTTAGCTTGCAAAACACTATTCGACTGACACCTATTTCTGAGTATAGTCTTGGAAACAGCCTGTTTGCACTTGAAAACTTCAGAGCCAAATGAACCTTCATGTAGCTTTCCTTTATGATGACCCATCTTTTACATTTTGTCGGAATATTCCGCAAAACTGAATTCATTTTACTTAGTATAAGTAACCCATTACTATGAAAACTTAAAAATCCCTTGACTTTCTAAATAGTTTCCCTAATTCAACGACCCCGTTTCTTATTTAACCTTTTTCTTTCAGCTCTATTTGTTGAAGGCCAGAACGTGCGAGTACAAATGACTTATTTATTTCCAAGCATATCTATCGCTGGAATGTTTTCAATCATATCGCATAGCTTGCATGATTAATGTGCCGCCTTCAAGGGTCCTTAGGGGAATTTGATTGCTTTGACGTAACGAGTAAAGCCAGAGGCCGTCGCCATCTTGCCATCGCTGTGGCTGTGGCTGGTTGGGACTGGGACTGGGCCTGGGCTGAGCTTCATTTTTCATGCACACACCGCTGGCAGAGAGCAGCGGATAAAAGGAAGCCCTACCAGCACCAAAACTATACTAAACTCAGCTTCGATAAGTTGGCGCTTCAGACAGCGAATGATATTGCAACATGTGCGCTGACGTAATTAATCATGGGGTGTACGTGATGGGCCAAGAAAAAAAAAGAGCAAAACTTTTGCGAACCCAAAAAGTTAAGTGCGCTCGTTATGCGCGACAAAGTTACTTACATAAGTTGTTTATAATTATACGTGGGTTTTCACATAAATTTATTGCTGACAAAGGGAATATTTGATTAGTTTTCCACTCGTAATTGAGTTAAAGCGACAAAGTTAATTGAAAGTGGTTGTAATGGCCTTGTTAGTCCTTGTAGGGGCACGGTCTGTCATTTTCTAATTTATGCAGCTCAATTAAGGAGGAGCAATTGAATTAGACGACAAGCGGACAAGCGGACCAGAGGACTCGTTTTAATAAAGCCTCCTCGCTCTTTTCCACTCACTGCTCTGCAAAATGACTCGCGTTTTTATTTGATTACGCACTGCGCAATTAAAACCGCATCGGCACGAGGGGCGAAAAAATGGACACGATGACCGGAAAGAGTTGTTAATATCGGCTATAAATGCAAGTGACTCTTTAATGTAATAATGACCGGCATGGTAGGATTGGTTTTGGTCATGTTGGGGCTATCGGAATGCGGGTAATGCGGAAGAGGTAGCCACATGTATGTAAGGACGACTATCGATTGATGACTTTTTGCAAACAGTAGGACCCAGTAGCAACCACAACATGTGCAGGCACCCCCCATCCAAACAGGAGCACTTGTCACAAGCAATCGACATCAGCATCAGCAGCAGCATCAGCATCAGCCTCGTCGAGGCTGTCCTTGTCGTCCTTAGTAACGCTGCAAAACCGCAACTGCCGCTCCAAGCATTGCGCACTGTGTTTGTTTGTGTGGCATTTTTGGTAACCACTCGCTCCTTGCCATTCAGCTAACGTTTTCCCATTGCCATTGCTGTTTGCTGCAATTAAAATGCAAGCAAATTACTTGAAACGCATTTTGTCGCTGCAGTCCCCTGCCTTTGTGGGTTTCGTAGCCTGGGGCTGCAACCACAAATTCCTTCCATTTGCCTGTCACAACCGCTTGGCTTTTGTCGCACTCTTCCTCCATTCCTCACCAGTTCCTTCAATGCTTGTAAAATATGCACACCAAGTTCTGCAGCTGCCTGAGCTTCCAAATTTCAATTCAACAATTCGTCAATGCATACAATAAGCCATCAACGTCCGGAGAAGTTATACAGTAGAGCCTTAAAGAAGAACGATTGAGTCCCTAAGTTTAAGGAGGAACAGAAATCTGTTATTTTTTTACTATTGGTGACTGTTTAAAAAAATGCAATATTCGTTTAGAAGCACAATTAAATAGAGCAAGATAATTAAGATATACACTTAGTTCAACTCATTGCATTAATTAATGCTTAAGCTTGATCTTAAGATAAATTCCAGTTGCTTAACTGATCTACAAAATCTATGCCTAGCTAGAATAGCGGACTAAGAATATCTCTTCTTTTTGTCACATTCTTCGAGGAAATCACGTCTCAATACATTGGATACACATACTCATACATACATATACATACGCTAATGCTTCTCTAAATGGTTAATGGTAAACTACCACCGATCTATATGTAATGACGGTCCTATTCAAATTGATTATAAAAAATATTTGTTCATGTCGCTATTTATTATTTTTATTTATTCATCTAGTTATTTATTTTTACATAAGAACACTGACGCTGTAATTGGTTAAGTGTTTCCATGAGAGCACTTTGCCCTTTCATCCTCTATGATAAATTAAATCAATAAATAAATTAAGTACTCTTTCATTTTATCAGCCTTTGCACACACACGGAATAATATACACATATGTATGTACGTGTATGTTTGTATGCGTGCATGTGTATACGTGTATGAGTACTTCATGCACTTGTTCGTTACTTTTAAGTATCGACTGTATCGCCCATTTTATTGGGGGAATGTTGCGAGTTGCATTTTAATAACGTTCGTTCCTGGACGCTTGCAGACCAACAATTTCATTTCATCTGAGACGTTGCCACATCGATTTGCTCGGGAGTGAGTTTGCAATAAGAACGAGGGGCATAGTGCTACCCATTCCAAAAAAATGTTTGGTGCTTTCTAGCACTGGCGCTTTGGCGCAGCTAGATTTGCTTTCTCCACTCGAAAGTTCTTTTTCTGTCGAACGTCGAACTGTCACTACACACACAATTTTTTGAAGTGAGATATTTTATTAGTTGTGCGTATGTGTATAGTAAACCCCTATCGCAGCAAATTCAGGAGCATACAAAATTAAAGTTGACGATTTTGATTTTTTGCAGCGTTTTTTCTTCTATTCCAACAATAATGGGTAAGAAGCAAAGGAACAAGAAAGCTAGTGCTGCCGCTGCCGCTGCGGCTGCTGCCAAGGCCAAGGCGGGCAACGGCAACAACAACGATGCCAAAACTGTAAAATCGGCAAATGACAACAACAACAACAACGGGGATGCTGGACAAAAGGATCTATCAAAGTTCAACGCCGAGTATCGCTCGAATCTGAAGAAACTCATGAAGCTGGCGCAAGAGTCGCCTTCAAAGTCGAAGGCTCCAGCCCGGAAGTCCTCGTGCAGCACCTGTTCAAGCGATGCAACGCTGACAGACAGCGATGACATGCCTGAACTGGAGGATGTGGACAAGCAAGACTGCGAGGCGGCCCAAATGAACCTGCCCGCCGATTTTGTAAGCATTGCCAAGCAGTCGCGCGGCGAGAAGAAGGCACGTCGTCTACTCAATAAGCTCGATTTGAAGCCCGTCGAGAACGTCTCGCGTGTGGCCATGCGCAAGTCTAAGAACATATTGCTCTACATCGATCGTCCGGAGGTGTTCAAGTGTCCGCACACTGAAACCTACATTTGCTTTGGGGACATACGTGTCGAGGACATTTCGAATGCGGCTGCCGCTCATGCCGCTGAGCGCTACCGCTTACCGGAATTGCCGAACTACGACTTGATGCCAGAGAGCCTCGAACTGCAGGACAAAAAACACCTGGAAGGTGAAGATGACGATGACGAGGAGCTGGACGCCCAGGGTCTGGACGAGAAGGACATTGAGCTCGTGCAAATGCAGGCTGCCTGCTCTCGTAAGAAAGCTATCCGAGCACTGTTGAAGAACGACAACGATGTGGTCAATGCCATCATGGCCCTAACCGTGGCTTAAGCCATTCCGTGGTTCTCAACACATTTTTCTTTAAATTGTCCTGAAAATTTTACACATGGTCCAGGCGAAGCGGCCCCCAACACCATACCATACCACATTTGCTACACACTATCTCTAATAAATCCAATATTAACACACAATATTGGGATAATTTATCGAAAAATGGCCAGTATATCCTATTGCCATAGCACCTTTATATATTCTCAATAAAACTGGAAATTATTTAAAATAAAAACTACAATAAGAGTTGATTTTTAATAAAACTAAAAGAAATATTTAGAGTATGAGGAGCCCGGCTTATAGATCTGAGCCCATTTATCATTGTTGTTACAAAAATTGTGTATTTTGTGTGCAATTTTAAAAATCATATTAAACAGTTTATTGTGAAAAAGTTTCAGTCTTTTAATAAGTAGCATACCTTCTATGCTTGTATCACGTCTTAAGGTATTGTACGTAAGTCGTATCTGAACAACATGATTTTGGAGTGACAGTGCTAGATTTTCACCTCGGCAATAAGCTTTGAAATATCATTCATCTATTCATTCAGCTATCAAGAAATTTAACAATATACTCAACGCACTTGCAGAACTTTTATACACAGGACCCTTTGTCTTTCGATTTTTCCATATAAGTCGAGCAATAAACTGTTCAGCGCTAATGTTATGACGAAACTTGCTTTAATGGAGCTGGAAGTTTGGTTAAATCAGGTTAGTGTGCGAATGAAAGAGCCACCAAGTCGACAGTTAAATGAGAAGATTCCCTTTCAGTTTCCAATTTGTAGCTTGTTGGAGTAAAAACAAAATACTAATGATAAAGTAGAGCACGAATAAATCCAAGCTGTGGATTCTTTAAATTACGTCTTTCTCCCACACTATTTATTTTTACCATATTTTAACATTAGTAGTAGCTGCTATATAGAAAAACTATATAATCTATGTATTTAAAAGCTAGTTAAGTTCGAAGGTTCCCATTGGATCATCCCGCTTATCGTAATTGTGGGGATTGCTTCTCTCTCTGCAAAAATTGGTTTTTCTATTGGATAGAGAAGAAATCATGAAATTAAGGACCTCATTTCTTAAAGTTAAGTTCGACTAAAGTTCCAGAGAAGCTGTCAGCACTTCTGAAGAATGGACGGATTTTTTAAATAAGCTGCTGTGCTAGTAGGTTTGAAATATCGCAATATTCCATTATTCAATTATAACGCTATTGTTCTGTAGTTGGCAGCCGCTTTCTGCTGGCCCTGTCTGTCAAATTTCTCCTGGGATGGGGAGAAGTTTTCGCCTCTTCTATTTCTTCGTCGTAACTTGTCGCGCACAGACAGAAGACTAGCGAGAAGTAAGTAAGTAGCTAAATGAATAGAGGGTGCTAACTTTTGGCTTAATTTTATTTAATTTGCAGCTGTCGTCAGCAGCCGTAAAAAAGGATTTAGTTTGCATTGTGATTGTAGCCGCACGGCTGTCTGGCAAGGTGGGGCCTGAACTCGGCCCTGAGACTGAACTTGAGGCTGAGGTGGCGCTCATTTATTGCAAGAAATGTACAAAGAGGAGCAAACTTTGTGTTCTGGTTTTATAGTGGCGCGCGTGCCGAGCTGAAAACCTTAACTGTTTTACGATGTGGGCGGAGGGGGGCGGAGCGGGGCGGAGCGGAGCGGCAACAAAGTCAAGTGGCTGCAGAAGTTCTTTTGGGCGGAAATTGATTAACTTTGCCGTAGCCTGCTATAAAGACACAATTGAAATACAAATGAGTTGACAGACCTTGGCCTGAGGTTGCGGGCGCAATTGAATTAAAATTCATAAGCGTTGGGCAAACAGGAGCCACCAGCCAGCTGCCAAGTGCCAGCTGGCAACAGCCACCAGCCATCAGCCACCAGTCCCCAGAACCTGACCAACTCACAGCTTTGAAGCATCGGAGCTCGAAAAGTGCTGACTATGCTTGTGGCTTCTGTAAACAGCTTAAAATCTGAAAGCATGAGACGTATTGGACAAACAACACTCCCTGGCTGGCGTTGGCCATAACGATTGTAATTTCAAAAGCCTGAGCTAAAGATTTTTCCTGCATTCCATCGCAAGAGAAATTCCACAACATTTTCGAGCTTTCCGTCTTTTAGCCAAACATTTTTTCCATGTGATGCTAAGCACCACATCAAAACGACTGGGCCGATATGATGGATCGGGGGGAGGGGGTCATGGCATTCCAAATTTATAAAGTTTTTCTTTCTTTTTTGCCGTGTTCATGTCAGGCCGACCGAAGTGAGGCTGAAAACAAATTTCTTTCATTCTTGTAGAAACGTTTCTCTCTTTTGGAACAGAAAAGCCTCATAATACCGCAAACAACTTTGAACTGTGAGATGTTCATTTATTTAAAATGTATTCTTTGCTTACTTTAATTTTTATCAAAGTACCATACTAGTATATCGTATTTGTAAGAGCGCTCGGAGTCTTTGGGGGAAAAATCATCTTGAATTCATCTTGCAGAGGAACTTTAGTAAATAATTTGAAATGACCGAAAAAATAAAAATAAACTGAAAACAGGAATAGATTGCTTTAAAGCTGCAACATACTGTGGAAGAATATTCACTCCATGTGACACAGTATGGACAATGTATGGATTGTTTCATTTACGTAATTAATAATTTGAAAAAATAATTTCAGATATATTATAGATCCCATTAATCAATTTAACAATATGAAATTAAATAAATGGCGCCCATTGTCAACTCATTTCCGCTGATTAACAATTTGTTTAGCGTTTTTCTTATTATCGGAGCCAGAATTAGAAAAATTGAGCTTCGACTACATTAAGGCAATCCTCCAGGCTCGTGAATTATATGAACTGTTATCCTTATTTATCATAAAAAAGCATTATTTATTGCTTTTACAATAGTCAATATTTGCAACTCACAGATGGTACAACGCCGTTCCCAATATTCTAATTGGTTCTTTATTAACAAAAAGTTTCTTTTAAAAAATCTATGGTTTGCATGACAAATATATGTTATACAAGTAGTGAGCTGATATGTTCCGTCTCCACAATATATATGGGTCCTACTAAAAGAAGCCTAGTTGCAAATTACAACGCTGTGATTGAAACAGACAGACGGACAGGTGGTTTACCGCCTCCTCTTCTGGTAAAATACCAAAACAGAAACATACCTCTGGGCTTTAGATATCAGTGAGAGGTAATATTACACAATTTTGTATTATTGGATTAACAAATTCCGGGATGTATTTTATGTACTAAATATGTATACGTATTAAGTGATTGAGTCTTTTTTGACGAAGTTAACTGTAAACTGAAAATAGAAGAGATCCTAATATGATTTCTTATTTGCAACTCAAACTTGGAACGCCCTTTGGGAAGTCCCCTTGTCCTCTTCTCTCCGCCGCTAACTACAGTTTTTTATACTCCTATAGCATAGTTAGTGGAAAAAATAGTAATGATTACTACATGTGTTTGATTTCTTTTGCTATGAGGAACTCATTACAAATCTTCAATACACTCAAACAAATTTAACAAGAGAGAACGCTACAGTCGAGCAAGCCCGACAGTGTAATACCCTGTACCCAGGTAAGCTTCCGTCACTGAGTTATATGCGCCCATAGCAGCAGCAAAAAGAGGAAGAAGAAGAGCGAACTTGTTGCTGCAGTTTGGGGGGGTTGTACTGGCGAGAATTTGTTTCGCTAATAACTTTTCTTAGAATTGACCGAATTGAATAAAATTTTGAACAACAGTAGACAATTATATATAAATTGTGTGTGCAAAGTTTGGTTTAGGTAGCATTTGAAATGTGGACGCTATTGACGAAATTCTGCAGCGGGGGAAGAGGGAGAAAATAAAAAAAAATAAATAAACTCGTCCTTACTCGGACCTAGGAGAATCTGGATGCCAACTTTGGTTATTCTAGCTTTTATAGTTTCTGAGATCCTCGCGTTCATCCAGACGGACAGACGGACGGACAGACGGACGGACATGTCTAGATCGATTTCTCTCGTCATACTGATCAAGAATATATATACTTTATGGGGTAGGAGATGCTTCCTTCTTTATGTTACATACTTTGCACAAACCTAATATACCCTTTTTACCCTACGGGTACAGGGTATAAAAATTGTTTATTAAATAAAATAATTAATACTATGTATAGTTGAATTAGATTTCAAAGTTGAGCCAAAAGGGCAGCAACATGTAAATTCCAAATTAGATATACAAATTTCATGAACTGAGGAAGTTATGGAAAATTTGCTGAAGAGAGACCCAAAAAAACGCAAATTTCTCCTGCTTATGGCTTAAGGGAGTGTGAGACGAAGATTGGTCTACTTTCGAGATGATTCCTTAAATGCAGACGGTCGGACATGGCTATATCGACTCATCAAAAATAAACCTTTATTTTTTGTGGGATCTGCCTTCCCAAACAACTAGTATACCCTTTTACTTTTTGGGTAGAAAATAAAGTAAAACAAGAAATGCATTTTTGTGATAAGTGCTTGACGAAAATTTTTAAAAGTGTTTGTATTATAAATACAGAAATTTAACAAAATTGTTTGATGCCTTATCGTAGAGATAGAATTTATTACTGCTTTTACTCTAAAAAACTTGCTTCCAATTCTTTCTTTTTCTGCGAAAACAAATGTAGACAAATTATAAGTACGAGCTGAAAAATAGAAGCTTATCAAAATATGTATCCATTTACGATTTCAATTGCTTGAAAGAGATAATAGGCAAAACTGTCGAGTCAGTTTTTATTCTTCTCTAAAAAAAGGGAACAAATTTAAATTTTGTTTTGCATATAAAGCGAAAGGGACATCGTGGATTTAACAACATTGTGTCCTCTGCAAAAAATTGGAGTTCCTCATAGAATGGCACAACTGTACTTGGGCCATCTGTGGTATACTTAGTATTTGTGGTTGCTGGTTTTGGTTTACAATATTTGGCAACCCACACCTAAATCCACATCCAACACGCTTTTGGGCTTGAATTTGGCTCAGTGGGACAAAGGAGCGTCTAACACTCTGCTTTCAAGTTGTGCTTTGTGTTTTGAATTTTACATTTCGCTGCGCATTTCTTGACCAAAATCTAAAAAAGATTTGCCTCTTTGCTGTCTTTTTGCCAGTTGGCTACCGTCTGTTTTTGTTTGCTTGAGCATGAAAAGCGTGTGCTTGGCCCAAACCTGCAGCATTTGGCTCGAATTTCGAAAGTCCGTTTGGCTTACACGCTTCACTGCCTTCTGCCTTCTGTCCACTGCCAACTGCTTACTTAAATGCCTGGAGCCACAATTGCCGCAGATCCATCACTCTGCTCCAAGTTTATCATTTAAAAGTGTATATATCATTCATTGTATATACATATATACACATATATATACAAGTATATATACAAATAATCATGATGCAGCTGCCATGACTTCCGTTCTGCTTTGCTTCAACCTGAACGTAAACCGTATCTTTCGGATGCCGCACGGGTTAAACGTCGAATGCTGCTTTTTGTGCCACTTGGAGGGGCACTTTGGCTTGAAGTGCTGCCAAGTTTTTGCCATTTGATTTGATGCGTGTGGGAGTCTCTCGTATTCGCCTTTGTGGGTGGTGGCAAGGGAATGATGCTGGGCAGGTGTTGATGTTGGTGTTTTTGGCGTTGGTTAGCACTTTAGAGCTCTTCGGGGGTCGCTCGTATTGTACGCTTTTATTGTGAATATTGAGCACGCACAAGTGGCAAGTGGCAAGTGGCACAAACAACGCCTTAAGTTAGACTTCTGCTTGCCTGGGTGGGTGGGGGTATTGAATTGTGGGCTGATTTTGAGCAGGTGATTTAATTTTGTTTAGGGGCCACTCCGCATGGGGCAAGGATAACAAATTGCTGGTATCTGACTGTTTTCAAAGCATGTCATAACTCCCCATTAGGCAGTACAGCGTGAAAAGGGATTTTCATTTCAAATGAAAAGCAATTAGATGAAAATGCCAGCGTGGGTTTTGGAAACAGCTCCAACTGTTGGCAACAGATTTATCTTCTTGGGGGACCAATTCAACACTTGACGCTTACTGCAGAGCATGGAAATGAAAACAGAGAAATTTAAAATCATTTTAAAAGTACATTTCTTTAAACACAATCACCGCAGACATGAAAAGTTAGCTCCCATGATAATGGAAATCGTAATTAATTGTTGGGTCATACATACTTTATTTAAATGTAAATATGGGTTAAGTAATTATGTAAAACAATGTTGTGCCCCAAAGTTGTGATTGGTTCAAATGATATTTTCAGCAACCACAACCGTGAAAACGCAAACAGAGAAGAGGGATACATTCGAAATAAGAGAAAATGTAACCTCTTTCTCGGACTTACGAGAGCCTGGTCACCAGTTTTGTTATTCTAGCTCTTTTACTTTACACGATAATTGCCTTAATACAGACTAAGACTGAGCTGCTGATCAATAATGCATGTATATCATTTGTGGGGTCTGTCATGCCTCATTGTGGATGCAGAGTATGAAAAGAGTATTAGGATTAGATAACATGTCCACAATATCGTAGAGCTTTCTGAGCCAAGAACAGCAAATGGATCCAACAGAAAGCACCCAAAAAGATATAAATGGATATAAATGAGTAAAAAGCGAAGGAGACCGTCCTGTAAATTTCCGCAATTGAAACAGTACACAAAAGAATGTGTAATAATTGAATTCAATTAATTACTAAAATTGATTTTTATAAATTACAATAAATATAAAAATATTTAATAATATAAATTAGTGTATGATTTTTTGGGGAGTGCATTCAGAGGATTAAGGAGTTGAATCCGCTCAGCCCTTGCTTTGCATTGTTGTTCTAATATAATTTATAATATAATTAAAATTGAAATGTAGCTCAGCTTTCATTGCTTCAAGGGTTTTATAAATAAAATATAAAGAATATAATAGCAGGAATTCAACTACTTAATTTTGTAAATAGTACAGCTACCAATAAGACCACATCAACCGCCCACTGTCCCCCAATGTACAACTTATACAACTTGGAACCTTTGCTGGTCATCTTAAGTGGCCTTTTCCTTGGGAAATGCTCAAATTCAAGTTAATTGCCAACGCTGTACGGCAATTTGCAACAATTACCCCAGCCCTGCCCAGCCAACTTCCGCCCCCTGCTGCTCGGTGTTGTTCACATTTTCCACTTCCTTGCAATTATAAGCTACCTAACGAACAATTTCAATTTTAAAAGCAAACTGCATGGAAATTGCGCACAGAAAATGTTGCAAGTATTTTGTGGATAGGGAGAGAGAAAGAGTGCCGCAAAAACGGCTTATGTTGCTGTTGTTGCAAGGATGGCAGCTACAACTATGGCTTCCAAAAAGCAGAATCCTGTGACTGTCGCAAATTAGCCGTTGCCGTCATAAGCATTTCCGCTGGCATTTTTGCAAAATATATTTTATTCAATTTCATTTGAAGGCTTTCAAAATTAATGCAGCAGGAAGGATTGCAAGGCATGCAAGAAATGTGCTAGATAATGAAAAAGGCTGTGAAAGATTTTTGTGCAACTAGGTTCAACGTCAAATCAAATAGTGTTGTTTGTGTATTTGTCTGTGTGTGTGTGTAAGAGTGTGGGGAAAATACGAAACGGGCAGGGAGAGCAGAGAAAATTGCATATCAATTGGAAATCAACTTTCGACGCTCGCCGAAAAACAAATTGCGCAGCAATTGTTAACAACAGCAGACAGCAAATATTTGATTTCGTTTGAGGTGCTCTGGTTTTTCTCATTTGCAACCCATTCGCCCCCCCCCCCCCCACGCTTTCTCCCATTCGTACACCTTCTCTCGTAATTGTTAGAAAATACAAATACGTGTACATGTACACAAGTATACTTGTATGCCTGTGAGTTGTGGGTGTGTTTGAGGATTTTTATGATGGCTGTTGCTATCTGCGCGTTTTGTGATATGATTTTTACGATAACAGGAAATTGATATTAATGGCCACAATGAACGCCTTTTGGAGTTAAGGGGTTTTCGTTTTGCCTTTGATACAGCATTATAGATTTTTATGCATGCTTTATGTATTTATTTCACCAGAGCGCTTTTCATGTACACGAACATCTGCATTATACTCGTATTTACGTGTCATAAAATATGGCATATATGTACTTATCGAAAAAAGGAGAGAATAAAATAAATGATTCACCTAAAAATGCATATGTGTGCATGCAAATGTGTGTGTGATTGTTAGAGTATAATGGTTTGTGGTTTTCTCAATTTTTGTCGGGCCATGATAATGTACATACAAGTATATATTGTAGCTGATTTATTAGGAATTTGGTTACCAAATTGGCATACTTTCGAACTTTTATTACAGTGTGCCGATGGTTTGTTCAAAAATGTGACAACTTTTTGCCACTCTAGTGATCAACAGCCCTGCATGTTGGTAGTTTAGTTTAGAAATAGGTCTGCCTCTGGCAAGTCATGCAAAGCTATGAAAAGTGCTTCAAATTATGCACAAAATGGCCGCCAACGCCGAAACTATTTAAATTATTTTGTTTTGAATGCCAGTAGCGTGGTGCTTAGCATAAGTAATTTAGTTTTCAAATGCAAAGCAACTAAAAATTATGCATAAACTTGGCCAAAACTTTGTTGGCCAGCAGCACACGAAACAATAGACAGCGCTACTCACCAGAGGAAATGCTGAAGCGTCTGATGGGGGTCGCCCTGCATGTTGGCATCGATGCCTTCTGCCATATGTTAGGCTTAAAATGCGCTGCTTATCAGCAGGAGCGCCAGCAGCAGGCCTTGGCAACACAGGATGATTGGATGAGTTGGCTGGCCAGACTCGCAGATTCGCAGACTCTGTCGCTGAAGAGTTGTCGTCGAACACTAGTTGGGACTTTTGCCTACTTGTTGTAGGTTGGCACTTTTCTTATTTAACCGCTCAACACTTTTCCTTCACGTTCAGTCTTCTGCGCTCACCAGGTTGAACTGAATGATGTGCTGAGTCGAGAACTCGATTCGACTCGACTCGACTCGAGCATCAGGTAGTGCACGGCAACAGCCGATGCCCGACGGCCGACGACTGGCGACACCCGAAGCATGCCGATGTGTTTCCAGCACACGCTTCCAGCCGGGAAAGTCACAGTGGAGGGGAAGTGCGCTTCGTGAAAGCTAAGCGACAAAAGCTTTTTGGCGCCGCTGCTTCAGGTGCGTTGCTGCTCCTGTTGCGTCGGCAGCGACGCCTACGCAAAGCTCTTCACCGTGGCGCAGCTTTGACGCCCAGCGCTCCAACGCCTACACAAAAAAGAACACGCACGCCGAGGAGGCAACCACAGCTGTCTGCGTGTGTTTGTGGAGGGTTCGCGAATGTGCCAACCTACTCACCTCCCTGTTCCCTGCACCCCGCACCCTGCAGCGCCCCACAGTTTGTTTCCAAAAATAGCATCAGCGCAGGCATTGCCAGTCCGTGTCCTTGTCCAAACAGCCAGCCCCCTACCAGTAGTCCTCATCACCCAACATTCTGCACCATCATCACCATCATTCAGCTGCGTCTGCACGCTGTCTTCAACTTTGTAGTTGCCTCTTTGCGCCTACAATTTCTTTTACTTTTAATGCCGAATTCGTCGAAATGTTTTCCGTGTGGCATGTGGTGCCAATTTTCCATTATTTCCTCTCCTCTTTTCGGCGAAAGTTGCGAGCCAAGCAGGCCCCGAGCAGGGATCCAAACACTCAAAGGAATTCAATTGAAATAACCAACAATTAATCTACGTACAAGTATATCTGTTCCGTTTCACATCATATAGTACATAATATCTGCTGATCAAGTGCCCCGAAAACACAGATGTAATATTGCCAAAAACATTATTTATTTGCTCTATACCTTTTTTTGAAGTATAGCTTTGAAAAAGGTGCTATAAAATTCCACTTCGACGTTATAATTTGTGTTTACAGAAAAAGCAGCCGATTTTATAAAACTTTTTTGAAACAATAAGGTTTTTACATAAATATATTCCAAGTATGGAGAATAAGACGGTGTCTCATATGTTGCATTACTGTTAGACTGTTTATATTTTTAAATTAACTATTAAAGTATTGTTTCTACATATAAGCGCAGCCAACCCAAGTACAGAGGCCATATATTATTTTTTATTTGAAGCTTGGCAGCTCTTGAGTTCAGAATGTGAATAGTTCCTAGAAGATTACTTGTATAACTTGGTTGAATATGAAATTATTAGCGCCATGAGCACAGCTGCTTTTATTTTATGATGAACAAGATAACATAATTTCTAGTTTGAGGAATATATTATCTTTTGCTTAAATGAACCGTATAAAATGTAGTTTCTTTTCTTCAAGTTGGGGTTTCTGTAACCAGTTCGGCCACATTGTTAAATGCTATAACCTTGAGGATTAAGCGGATTATTAAAGAAGTTTTCATCTTTAATCAGCTACTTGCATTTCTGCGGTCCCTCGTTGTTAAACTATCTTAAACATATTTCTACCTCAACGATAGAGCTATTATGGTAACATTTGGCACACTTGGTAATTAGGCTCAGGAAAGTGTTATGAAAAACTTCACTCATTGAAAGGAAACTTAAGCGAAATTTTGGAATTATGACTGCCAAACTTTTTACATAAGTACAAGTATATACAAAAACTAACTGCTGGGGGGTTGAGATAAACTTATAGTGCTCCGTATTTGGGAGAATATGAATACCAAGTTCTACTCTCCTACTTTCGGAGATCCTTCCTGTTGGGTCGACCACGCCCCTTCTAGGAGTAACAGAAGCTGAACGCTTTCCTAAGATGCTCTCTGGTACACCAAATACCTGCATTCATATAAGGAAACCCACATCGCATTTCTCATATTCTTCCGTCCCTGGTTGTTAACGTCTCGCACAACTTTAAATCTCTCTTCCCTTGTACTTTACTAATGTAGGTTGCTGGTTAGTTTATAACTTGATATCTGCCTACTTAGCTGCTATTTATAGCATATTGGCCTGAGTGTATGTTTGGGTGTTCGGGTGCTTGGGTGTACGGGTGTATGGGTGCGTGAGCTATGAGGGTTGAGCGGCTTATTGATTTTTTGACTTGTTGTTACTTTTCGGCTGCCGCCTGACGCCGCATTTTCCCACATGTGCTTTATGAATGAACTGGCTTTACTTTTTATTATTTGGCTGGGACGATGCACTACAGTGCCTGCCAGTCCCCAGTCCCCGAAAGATGGGTTACCCTAATGTTTTCAATGTCGCCATGCTTGCAATCTCATTAGGTAAATGGATTGTCGCCGTCGAGGTTTCGTGATAGAGACATTTCCACAATGACGCCATTCTATATTGTCTGTGGTCTTGGAGCATTGTGTACGTTCTCCTTGTGTGTTTATGTGGTTGAGTGTCTGTGTATATTAGTATGTGAAAAAGGATATTGAAACGTGCGCACGTATGTAAGAGCGCGATGCGCGTGGAAAATGATTAATATTTGTTCAGTTTAAATTAATTGGTCGCAGTGGCTGCACCTCAGTCCCCATTAATAATCATAATAGATGGGCGATATGGGTGTTTGTAATTGGCTTAACGTTGCCGCCGTTGGCAGGATATCGGGCTGTAAGGTGGTGAGCGGGAAGTACTGTAAATTATTGACTAGAACAGGCAACAATTCACAGTATTGGACATTAGTCCATTCTTCATTTGAATTTCAGCAAACAATGGCAACGTTTTGAAATACTTTTGCTGACAGGCAACAAATTATGGGAACAATGCATAACTTGTTATGATTTGAGTGTAATCAGACAGCAATTTAAATGAAATTTTGGTTATAGCCGGTAGAAGGACACGCAACACTTATTACAGTTAGTTTCGATTTTTAATCTCGGAGAGATTGCAGTTTTTTTTTTTAGTGTTTTTTAAATACTAGTATACTTTTGTTGATTGAGAGAACTTTTATAAAATAGAAAGAAAGATAATATTTCTACACACCCGTGCCTATATCTGGCAAAGTTAGATCGAACTCTCAAACATTTGTAGCCAGCATTACCAGTTTGCACAACTAAAGCTTGCCGCCTTAGTTTTAGAGCACCGGGTATACGTGAAGAGCAAGGAGTATGGCTCGTATCTAATTAAATCGTAATTATATGTAAGTTTGTATAAATAAGACAATTAAGACAGTTATTAGCTCAACGAATCGAACTTATGTGGCACTCTAAAAGACATCAAATATGCAAAGATTTTTTTCTTTAATCTAACAAATGTTTCCTTCCGAAGGCTATTATTAAACTATGTTATTTTTGTAACAACCTAAAGGAGGCGTAGCAATCAACACAATGAATGTACATATACGAAAATGTACGCCTTCCCGTCCATTCGTCTGTCTGTATAAAAAAAGTGAAGGAGTTAGGGAAACCAAATTTGAAATGCTGGATCTGCATCACCCCTCCCCCCGTCCCCTCATCCTACTACCAAGTTCAAGATTTCTCTTATCAGTGCTACAAGATCTTGAAACTTCGAGTAATTATTGCCATTGCAATTTTTAGCTGCCAAGATTCATATCAATAGCGTAACTCTAATGGAATGCTTGCAAGATAATCTCTGCCCACGCCCAGACAGCAGCTGTTGTTGTTGTGATTTACCCGCTGTACCCATAGGTTTAAAAGGTATCCTCGAAGATCTAAACGTTACACCTATGTACATATCACGCAGAAGCAGGCAGACCTGATATAGACATATCCTTACGAACATCGAGGACAGCCATGGGCATGTGGGGGGCCATGATCATATGACCAATCAGTAATATCACATTTTAGTTTATTAAAATATCTATATAACATAAATCGAGTGCTTCAGACAAAATTTGTTTGTAATAAAAACTCTTCATTTTAATTCCGTATACGAATTTTGTATCATAAAATACAAACTAACTATAATGTGATGTTTAAAATAATGGTTTCGTATAACTGTCATTAATGATTACAACCAGTTTATTTTATCTAAAAAGCTGTAGTGGGGAAAGGGGGATGTTACTTTCCAAACATTTTATCGAAATATCATATTCTTTATACTGTGCCTGAAAATATCCAAGAATATATATTTTTATCCCGGATTCAAAGTTTTTCACGACAATAGTTCCATTGCAAGCGTAAAATGTTAAAGAAAGGTTGTTGAAACATTTTCAATTGAATCAAATTATTTAAAAGAGTCTTATTCTTCTTATAAGACTAACTGTCACAATTTTCTAACCCATTTTTCGGTACTAAGAACTAAGAAGTTTTTTGCCTCTTAGTCTCTTTAGACTCAGGGTATGATTACCAATCAGATATCAGATTTTCGAAATTGCCAGATTTATTTCAAATTTGTAAGCTATTTTGAGGTCGAATGATATCCAACCTACATCGCTTACAGGATAAAGAACACGTTGATATAGAGAAATCATATTAACAATATATCTCCTCCCTACAGTGGAAATGTCTCTGAAATCAATAAAAGGGTGTGATTCAGATATCGGTAACATTGTTTGCTGATAAGGAAAAGGTTGAAGATTTCCCGATCAGATATTCTGCTTACTTCTCTGTAGCACAAAACAATTAAATGGCAATGAATCTTATTTATTCCAAAATATATATTACAATTTGAAGAGTTTAATTTAAAGAAAAATATTTAAATTGTAAAAAAGTTATACTATTTATTTTCATAGATGGTGGACCTATTAAATTTTAGCTTAGCTTCCTACTGCATTAGCAATATGTATTGTTTTCGTAAACCTTCTAAGAGATACAATTTTATGCCACACTTTATGATTTTTTTTTATGAATCCACTTGTTTACGCCACAATGTTTATTTGCGCTTAAATTTATGGGCCCCTCTCCCCACAACCTTTGTTCGGCTCCGGCCCTTTGTTATGTCAACTTCCGTCTGTTTACCCAAGAGTTAATCCCGCAAAATTTTGTATGACATTTATATCTGCTGCCTTGCTAAATTTA